ACCAGGGAAAGGAGTGGAGGATAAACTAAAGGACAAAGGTCAGTTTCAAAAAGCTGTTCTGCCAGATCTTGCTTAGAAAACTATTCAGGTATCCAAAAAATAAAAAAATAAAAAAAAAAAAAAAAAAAACTCAATAGAAAAAAAAAAAAAAAAAAAAAAAAAAAGCCTAATGATAAATAAACATCTCGGGACAAAAAGAAAGAACAAAGCAAAACTTCCTGTATTTCTTTTTTAAACATGAGTCACAGTCATTTCCCATTCTCCATTCTCCTTGTCAGATTTCTACAAAAAATTCAATTCTTAGGTGATACTGGTCTCAGAGTTTTGGAGATTTTGCTCCCCTGCCAATCTTCCTCTTTTCGTTTTTAGGACTGAGTCTTACACAACAAGTAAAAAAGAAATAGATTTCTATTTGGACAAGAAATAAAGCTATAGAGTAAACCCATTATCTTCCTTTTCTTTGTAAAGCTTTTTGTTTTGAGACTGTAGATAGTTTGGTCAGAAAAAGAAATTCTAACTCATGATTCTATGACAAAAAAGGAAATATAAAGATTCTTTTCCTAATTCAGTCTTCTACCACCTGCAGGGAGTCCAGTTCTTAAAAAGTACTTCACAAAAGAAGATTGTGTTTTCAACGCAAACTAGATTTTAAGAAACCTTGATGTTCAAATGTAAATGAAAAAGCAAACAAGACATTTTCTAACCTTAAAGTATACTAAAAGGTTTACTTTTTCAAGAATTTCAATATATGGCAAAATTTGAAATATATTCCATTAAACTCAGGTGTGTAACTATCTATTTTAATGAGTAAGCAAAACTGTCATGTTACTATATATTTCTGACATTCCATATCTGAGTTTTAAAGCCTATATAATATTAGGACATTAATTGTAAAATTGCAAAAGTTTCCTCTCACATATTTAAATTAACATACTTTATAAAAGAGGCCTTATCAATATGGAAAATTCTAAGATTTTGTGCATTTCATAGATATGTATTTGTATTTTATCTATTTTGTGGCTGTTGGAGAATGTATTTTTTTATTGTATATTCAAATGGAATTTTGTCATTCTCTTTTATATTTCTCTTCAAAAAAGCTATTCTTTCTATGTTCAATCTCTAATATATATTTATGTGCTCATACATAAATGTAGATATATATTTGAACACACAAACACACACACACATAGGCTTAGGATAACTATTTTACTCATGCCTCTTAAAATGACAGGATTTTAAAAAGGGACTATGTTCATTTAAGTTCACATCATATGTAAGGTTCTTTTTTTGGGTAGTTGTTTAGAGAATTCTTGATAATTTCAACTCTTCCACAATGAAAAGTAAAGCATTCTGTCACAAAAGCAGGGAGGATGAGATACAAGGTCAAAGGGCATTTTAGAAACAAACAGCTGGACCAGTTTATTTAAACAGATAGAGGGATGGGCGAGCTGACCTCAGTTTGACTTATAGTGGGAGGAGCAAGAATGTCATTTTATTACTTTGCCCAGAAGGAAAATGTTTTTGTATCTGAATTTACCCTGAAGCCATCTAAATATGACTCTGCTGTATGTAGCATAATTCCAAAAAGACAGGACATATAAAATAGTATGAGATGATGATAAAATAAAGAGAATCAAGTGTGGAGATGGTCTAAGATCAAAAAGGTGATGTTGTTTTAAAAAATAAAATATTTTGCTATTTACCTATTTTCAGATATATGTCCATCATGACCCCAAATAATAACTTGTTTACATAAGTATCATAATTGCAATTCAGTAGCATTCTAAAAAATTACTACATCCTGTACTAATATTTCATTATATTGAATTTTTAAAAATTAAGTGTTTCAAAAGTAAGAAGCTGCAGGTAGACCTACTAAATGTGGTTAGACAGCTCAGAAAAAGTGATTAGGTTTTCTCAGGTTTTCAGTGTTATTATTTATGTTTTGTTTTTTAATGAAAGGTTTCCCACTTTGGCATCTACATAGTCTACCAGTAGCTTATTACATCTGTGTTCTTAATAACAACAAACAGTTTTTGCTACCAAAAAAAGAAGCAAATAACATCTAGTACCTGTGGGCACTTGGCTAAGAGGCTGTGGTATTTTTTGTATGTATTTGCTTTCTACCTGGGGATCAGAGCAGGCCTGGAATAAATGTCGTTGGTGTTGTCCACTGTAATGCTTCAGGAAGACACAGGCAAAGATCATTCGACTGAGCAGAGTGGCCCAGATGTTGATGGACTCAAGATCCTAGAAGGACTCAAGATCCTAGAAGGACTCACATTCTAGAAGGCACTTTTTAAGAATCACTAATGTTTAACCTAAGGATTAGAGAGAGGGGAGAAACCTATAGGCATAATGGCTATGTTTAACTATTTGACAGGTTATCCTATGGAAGTAAAATTAGAATTGTTTAAAGTACTTCAAAGAGTTGGACTGGTGAAACTATTAGGCTGGTGCAAAAGTAATTGCTGTTTTTGCCAATCAAAATAATGGCAAGACCACAATTACTTTTGCATCAATGCAAATATTTTGATCAAGTAAGGCAGAATCTTCCAACAGTCTTGTTTATAGATGGAGTGGACTCTCAAGTAAGGTGGTGAGTGCTGTATTAGTTCAGCAGAGGTTACCTATGTACTTTTTGGGGAGAGATATCATACAGGGGATTCATGTCAGTGACAAAACGAGGTGACTATTAAAGGCCTTTCCAAACCTGAAGTGTAATTTTTTAAAATGAACTCACCAGTTTAATAGTCATAGACTCAAACCTGAGTTGATTATTATGAATTAGTCTATGGGAGTCTGAATATGTGAGTATGATGGAGACAAGCTTTGGAATATAGATAAATTAAGTCACTGTAACCTCTTTTTGAATGCCTTATCATTGTCTTTATACACAAACAGTGCAGCCACCAAAATTTTTAAATTACAAAATGTTCACAGTCATGCTTATTCCTTAACTAAACACTGGGGTTGCTGCCAGTGGTAACTGGCTCAAAACCAGCTAATTTTTATATATCTATTTAGTCTGGATATTCTAGATGAGTGGCACAGTAGTGGCAGTGCTCTGGTCACCGCACCAGAAAGGAGGGTGCTTGCTACCACTGACAGCTGTGTGTCATTTAGCAAATTATTAACATCTTTTTGATAACATGTGACCTCAAAAAAGTGACTTAATTTCTCTGAGCCCAGGCTTCTCATTTGTTAAAAATGGCTCTTCCTATTTTTAGGTAAGCAGTATAAGTCATATCCATAAAAGATTATGTTTTTAAAAAGTCTGGAAAAAGAAAGTTAATAGACAGAATTTCTTCCCTCTAAGAGTCTGCAGATTATGAACAGTACCATAGATAAAGAGATGTTTTTGCTCTCTTACCTACATTAGTTACTATGAAAATTACTTTTGGTATATGCAGAATATTAATATTAAATAATTTTCTAATTGGTCATGCAGTGAAGGCAGCTAATGAAAAAGCAGATTTTTTTTCATTTTAATTGGTTATTTCACATGGTGTTTGTGCTACACCTGTGCTTATAATGAGAATGGAGAATTAATCTAACCTTCTGCTCACATGATTCCAATTTTCATGGATTATACAAGATAATGATAACCTGATTTGCAACACAATTTGTTGTAGATCTGTGTTTTAAATATTTTTATTAGCAGTTCAGGGACTTCATATACAAGAGCTGATATAATATGTATTGCCAACAAGAGTTAGCACCAACAGTATACCTTTTAGTTAGATTCCAGTTTCATTATTTGTTTTAATTACTTCTGAGATAATGAAAGAACATATAAATACAGGATATTGAGAATCTTAAAATGTTATGAAGCATGCATTTTTGTTTTGAAAACCTGTCCCTGTCTGTTTAATGGTTTGGCTTTTAGGAACTATTTTCCTTTCTGAAGTGGGCAGACTTACAAACTAGAATTCACACTGGACTGTGGATCCTTTAATTATTAATAGAGCCTTATTAAACTTTTCATTGTATTTTTTTTACATCCTGATCAGATTTGATCTGAGTGGAAACTAAAAGCAATTTATTATTTCGGAATCTAATATGTCCTCATTTTCTGGATTTGATATTTAATTCTTAATATTATGCAGTACAAATGGATCTTAAGAGAATCTCATGAGTATGACTCTGGAGAGCTTATTTTAACTACTTTTTTACATTTCAGTTACTAGTCACTTTGGAAGAGGCTACAAAAATAATTGTACAAAAGTATCTTGTTAAGACATTTAAAGTAACTTAAATCTTAATAAGTTTATACATTTTCAGTACTAGCTGGAGAAAACAAAATCATAAGTTAAATTACTGTATAGCTGTGACCTTGTCTTGACCTCAGGCTTTACATAAAGAGCCAAAAAAAAAAAAAAAAAAAAAGCCACCCCAAGAAATCTCTACAAGGAATGCATTTCTCTGAAGTCCCAAGCAGTGTGAGTTAGTGGTGATAAACTCCAGACATTCTCTCATTTGATGGTGTGCTGCCATCCCAGTTCATTATCTTAATAGTGGGCATTAAAATAGAATTAGGTTTGCAAGAGGTAGGGGAGGTTTTGATAAAAATTGTAAAAAAGAAGTCAGAGAACATAAGATTGAAATGTCACTAATTAGGAGAGGTAACAGATGCCCTTATGAGCATCTAACTCTCTACACCAATTTTCTCTCCTTGCAATTGAAAGGAGTGGTGTCTAGTATTGTTTCCTGAAAACTCTGCTAATTCCCCCATGAAAAGATGAAATGGAAGTGTCCAACTGTGGTAAAACAGGCAAACATAAATCAACTCAGAAACCCCAAGCCTGTGTACTCAAAGGTCACTGGGGGTTACAGGTTTTGCAGCATGTGAGGCTGCACATAGAGCGGTGGAGAGAACTGAAGGAGTCCCATTTTGCCAAGATCTAGCCTTACTCCAACTGTGATTCATCTTTTCCTCTTCCTCAACCCTTCCTTTTATTTGTCAGGAATAATGATTTGCTTCACTTTCTTGGTTACAGGTTTATTAATGCCCGGAGAAGAATAGTGCAGCCCATGATAGACCAGTCCAACCGAGCAGGCAAGTCCCCCATAGTGACTGTATTCAAGTCACGCAAGCGAAAACCATCCTCAAGCCATTCACCGGGAGGTCTGCTACCTGGTAAATAAACTGGGAGTGAGTACTAGGAACGCCTGGCAGTGAAAATTAAACCAGTTTCGTTTCATAACAACACTAATCAATTTAACATCATTATAAAACGTTTGGAGAAGGTGGAAAAAAAAAAAAGCCAACAGAGAAAAGTAACTTAAATCATATGCTCAGTTACAATATTCTTGGTACACATTCAATATATTAA